CCATCGCGACTACCGTGACACAGTACCTGGGACTCAACATACAAGACGGCGACAACGCAATCTACCTCAGCGCCGAGAAATACACGGACACCATCGCTAAACGATTCGGACTTACTCCAACTACTATCACCCACGCCATACTGCTACACCGACGGAAATCGCAAAGTCTCCGCCCTACTCAAACCTGCCGGCATTCGTGACTACCAATGAAAGTTAGGCTGTCTACTCTTCGCAGCCGCTACCTGCCGACCGGATCTATCCTACTCAGCTAGTCAACTTGCCACCTACCTTAAGAAGCCTGAAGCAGAACACATGCTTGAACTCAACCGTGCACTTCACTATCTCGTTAGTACCCCGACGATCGGACTAACCTACCACAAGACCAGAACTTCGACACCTAAGTTAATCGGCTACGTCGACGCCGATCACGCTGGAGACTCCGACAACAGACGATCTCGAACTGGCTGCATCTATTGACTCGAACCTATCGGCCCTATCTCATGGCAGTCGAACAAGCAAGAGTTAATCGCTCTCTCCTCGGCAGAAGCAAAATATATCGCACTCTTCTCAGCCACCAAGGAAGGGCTATATCTTCGCGAATTGCTGGAGGAAGCACAGCTGGCTCAATTACCCAGCTTCTCCCTCTTCTGCGACAACCAATCGGCCATTCGCATAGCGAACAAAAATGGGTTCGCGAATCAAACGAAGCACATCGCCCTCCGGTACTTCTTCGTAAAAGACGAAATCGAGAAGGGAAGACTCGAGCTATCCTACTGTCCCACATCCGAGATGGCAGCTGATTACTTGACCAAGAAACACGGAAAACAGAAGTTCGAGTACTGCATGCTACTGACTGGGCTCTCAATCCTCAGCATCACGATCCCCTCGCACAGCGTGCTGTTGGGGAACTGTAGCACGCTCACGGCTTGTAGCGGCGCCGCCCGGGAGCAGCCCGAGCAGGCGGATGTGCGGGCGGACAATGCGGAGGAGGAGCTTGAGGACAGAGAGGACGGAGGCGACTAGCAGGCCGATCTCGGGCGAGCCGAAGATGATCCCGAGGAAGCAGCCGAGCATGACCATGAAGTCCAGCTTGTCTACCCTCCAGATCGTAAACGCTGCCTTGAAGTCGAGCTGATGGGGGGAAAGAACGGAGAAAGGGTTTAGGTCAATAGGGGGAATAGGTGTTGGGAGCAGCCGAGCATGACCATGAAATCTAGTTTGTCTACCCTCCAGATCGTAAACGCTGCCTTGAAGTCCAGCTGAGAACGGGGGGGAGGAGGGGGACAGGTGGGAGGGGAAACCAGGGGACAAGGGTCGATGGAAGCAGGCGAGCATGAGTATGAAGTTGAGCGTGTTCACCCTCCAGATTTGAAATGCGGCTTTAAAGTCCAGCTGAGAGGGGGGAGGGGTATGGATGGGAGGGGATGGGATGGGACGGGGGAAGAAGGGAAGCAAGTGAGCATGGCTACAAAATGGGTGGGGGGGGAACAATGATGGGGAGGAGGGGAGGGAGCAAGGCGATAGGGGGAAACAGATGATGGGGGGGGCAAGTGGGAGCAGCTAATGGAGGGGCACGTTGAGGTATGTGAGTAAGAAGAAACGGGGGAGGAGCAGATATGAAAGGGAAGGAGGTGGGGGGCAAGGGGATGAAGGAGGGAAGAGGGAGAATCCGGAAAGATCGGCGATGCGAGGAGCAAGGAGGGAGATAGGGAGGAGGGAGGTAGGGAGGAGGGAGATAGGGAGGAGGGCAGTACCAGGTTAAGCACAGAATTGGCGATGACTGCTCCCACCACACACTGCAAAAGGGGGGAGGGAGGGACGTGGGGGAGGACCATTCGAGAAGGGGACGAGGAAGGGGAGAGCGGGAGGGCATGGGGAGAAGGGAACAGGGAAGAGGGGCCTATTGAGGGAAAGGGAATACTGGTATTGAAAGGAGCGATGTGGGTGTGCGAGGGTGCAATGCTCGCACAGGAGGCACGGCAGGACACAGGAGGCAAAAGGCAGGACACAGGAGGCAAAAGGCAGGACACAGGAGGCAAAAGGCAGGACACAGGAGGCAAAAGGCAGGACACAGGAGGCAAAAGGCAGGACACAGGAGGCAAAAGGCAGGACACAGGAGGCAAAAGGCAGGACACAGGAGGCAAAAGGCAGGACACAGGAGGCAAAAGGCAGGACACAGGAGGCAAAAGGCAGGACACAGGAGGCAAAAGGCAGGACACAGGAGGCAAAAGGCAGGAGGAAGGTGGGGGGAGTGGGGTATACTCTGGGAGCGTATTGGAAGGTAAGTGAAAGTAAAAAGGAGGAAGCAGAGGTAAAGTGGGAGCGGAGGTAAAGTGGAAGCGGAGGGAAGGTGGAAGCGGGCACACCGGACGGAGGGGAAACTTGCACTATGCACGGATTGGACGGCAAAAGGAGGGGGAAGAATGAGGGGCCGTACAGCGGGCACATATTTGAAGGCGGGAGCAGCAGCAAGCAGCACGATAAGCATGGTGAAGGAGAGGATGATCTGTGTCAGCGCCGTGTGCGCCCCCGCTAGGATGTTCACTGCCGTGCGGGAGAAGGAGCCTGGTGGGGGGAAGAAAGGGAGCCGGGCAGGGGAGAGAGGGGAAGAGGGGATTTGGTTGGGTTTATGCAGGAAGGCACGGATGGCCACAGGATAGGCATTGCAGGAGGTGCCTTGAGAGAGGTGCCTTGAGAGAGGTACCTTGAGAGAGGTGCCTTGAGAGAGGTGCCTTGAGAGAGGTGCCTTGAGAGAGGTGCCTTGAGAGAGGTGCCTTGAGAGAGGTGCCTTGAGAGAGGTGCCTTGAGAGAGGTGCCTTGAGAGAGGTGCCTTGAGAGAGGTGCCTTGAGAGAGGTGCCTTGAGAGAGGTGCCTTGAGAGAGGTGCCTTGAGAGAGGTGCTTTGAGAGAGGTGCCTTGAGAGAGGTGCCTTGAGAGATGTGCCTTGAGAGAGGCTTTACAAGACTGGTGGGGCGCTCGTGCTTGGTGCACCTGTGCAGTGCACATGTGTGGTACTCTCTTCTCCTCTCCAGCTCACCGGGTGGGAACAGCAGCAGCGGTGTAGGGATCTCAGAGCAAGCGTGCACACACCGTGCTTGCTTGGACTAAGCAAGCTCACCGCTTGTCAACGAATTAGATCGCAGCGTACCTGTGGCGACATAGCAGGAGGTGAAGGAGCCTGAGAGGTTCATGGCTCCGTAGGCTATGAGCTGTAGGCGATGAGGTGAGGTGGGAGAGGAGGCGAAGAGGGGGGGGGGCAGGGCGGGAGGGGGAGAGAGGGAGAAGAGAGGGAATTTGATCGCTACTGTGAGTTTGGTTGGGAAATGGGTGCGATTGAGGGTTTGACAGGAGCATGAGGCAATTAGCTGGCGACCAAGAGGTGAGGAGGCGTGGAAAGGAGAGGATGCGAGGGAGGGAGAGGGGTTGGTGAGGGAGGGAGTTGAGCTGAGGAAGGGTGAGGAGGAGGCGACAGAAAAGAGTGGGGAGCTTCTTGAGAAAGCAAGAGTGGGGAGCTTCTTGAGAAGGCGAGTGAGTGAGGTCTGTTAGAAAGCAAGAGAGTGAGTGTGGTTGCAAGTAAGTGTGGTTGAGGGAAAGTGCAATCGCGAGTGTGAAAGAATGTCATTACGCACCTCTTTGTTACCATCAATGTGGTAACCATACATGCCCGCAAATGTGCGCCCTATGCCAATCAACAGCGACACTCCAGAAGCGAAGGGGAGTGTTGGAAACTTCTGAAGTATCGAAGCATCGACATGAAACAGAGCATACCACCGCGAAGCAACACACGAGTCAACAAAAGCAACCGCTGGAGATTACGCGAAGGTCAAAGGTCGCTTACTTTTGACTCGACGAAAAGTACAATGTGACAGGAAGGACACATAACTGACTCGATACTGAGCAGTTACCCGAGTCGACACTGTATCGAACCGCAACAGCAAAAACAGTTAAAAGTATAACTTTTCATATTCCCTTGTAATCATATAAAAGGCATGTATCTCTCTGCTATTATCAACTTATCTTGTTCTCACACACCAGTACAAGGTGGTTCAGCAACTTTGATATTAACGCTTCCGCAAACTACAACATTCCTACTTCAACTAGATCTTAGCCTTGAAAGATCCTAAGGGCTATTTCTCAGCCCAACATACATGAAGGGAATGCAGAGAGTTACGTGACTGAAGTGCTGTACTCGACAAGTATCTGAGCTGAACGGATCGTGAGGAAATGTGTCCAGTACGCCGACGCACTAAAGCAACATTCATAGCAAATTCAGAAGATCGGCTCGAAAGATTCCTCTGTCCAGACGGTATACAGTAAGTTTTCAGAACCTTTTTAGGCGTTTGTGAATTAGGGGGGTTAAAACTTCTAGTCGTCAAGTACAGGATTTTGTTTCCGCATTTAACCAGATACGGTACCGTAATTTTCTATGGGGTGTCAAAGTACAATCTTACTTGTAGGCTATAGTGGGGCAATCCTTATGGGGTACAGCACTTCGAGGGTTAGTACTTGTACCCCAACTCTTGCTAATCCAATCATCTCTGCACAGTGATTCTGACATGGTATTCGGAGCAGGAAACCTGTTAAGTTTTTAGGGCCCACCGATAGTTTCGCTCGTTCCTGCCCGAAGCGCCCTTGCGCTGTCCGGCCTTGCTCGCACAGTGTCGCGCTGCCCTGCAGCTACTCGCACTGCCTGCCCCCCCGCACGTCGCGCCCTGCTGCAGCCCGCGCGTCGCGCCCTACTGCAGCCAGCGCGTCGTGCTCTGCTGCCCTGCGCGTCACGCCCTGCTGCAGCCAGCGCGTCGCGCTCTGCTGCCCTGCGCATCGCACCCTGCTGCAGCCAGCGCGTCGTGCCCTACTGCAGCCAGCGCGTCGCGCTCTGCTGCCCCTCGAATCGTGCCCTGCTGCCCTGCACAGCGCACGCCCTGCTGCCCTGTCCACCGCGCCCCCTGCCCTGCAGCCCGCGGCGCGCCCTGCCCGGCCGAGCCGCGCCGCCCAGCCCGAGCCGCCCTGCCCAACCCAAGCCGCGCCGCCCTACCTTGATCACCAGCCCCACCGAGCCGCCCTGCTGCCACGACTGCTGCTGCTGCTGCTGCTCGTGCTACTGCTGCTGGTGGTGGAGGTGCTGCTGGGAGTGTTGGGAGTGCTGCTGGTGCTGGGGGTGCTGGAGGTGCGACTGGGAGTGCTGGAGGTGCTGCTGGTGCCGGACATGCGACTGGGAGTGCTGGAGGTGCTGCTGGTGCCGGAGGTGCTGGACCTACTACTGGCCGTCACTGCCTGTCATGGCCACTATCACGGCAGTTGCAGCAGCTAGGGGTGGACAGTGGCGGTCACTGCCTCTCCCAGATGACCCCACCCCTCAGCAGCTTCGCGAGTGGGTTCTTCAGCGAGCCCGTCCAGGTGGTGGAGGTTTTGGTTTTCTACGTACACAGAGGCGGCAGCAGAGTCAGCAGGAGACCTTCTCCCCTCAGGTGCTTAGTGAGTTGTTTCCTCAGCGATGTGTCACTGGATCTGTCGAGGCTACTGCACTAGGTGCTAGTGAGTCTGCTGCAGCTTTAGGTGCTCGTGCGTCTCCCACCACAGGTCCTTCCTCAGCTGAGGCCTTGCACACTTTCACACTTGACACAGGCGCGTCACGTTGCTTCTTTCGTGACTGCACCACACTCACACCACTTGCTGCACCGGTACCGGTCTCACTGGCTGACCCCACTGGGGGCCCAGTAGTCGCACAAGCCTCCACTGTCCTTCCGTGTCCAGCAGTCCCATCCAGTTCTCTGTCAGGTCTCCACCTCCCCACGTTCTCGACGAACTTGGTGAGCAACGCTGCCATTCAGGATGTCTGGGTTGATACCTTTATTCTTGGAGGGCAGCGTGTGGCGATCTGTACGTGCTCCCGGACTGGCCGTCACCTGGCTACGTTCTCTCGACGGCCTGGGTCTAGTCTGTACACACTAACCACTGCATCTGAACAGGTGGCTGAGGCAGGTCGGGTTGCTGCGTCGAGTCAGGTGTCTGCGTCTGGTCAGCTTGTAGCGTCTTGCTCGTGTCAGGTACTCTCCCACCAGACTCTCCTCTGGCACCACCGCCTCGGCCACCCCTCCCTACCGCGTCTCCGCGGTATGCACTCCCGTCTCCTTGTCTCTTGCCTTCCCAGGTCCCTGCCCTCCCTCCCGCGCTTGCCTGCCCCGCCGTGCCTTCCCTGCGTCGAGGGGCGGCAGCGCGCCACTCCTCACTCCTCCGAGTTTCCTCCGACCACTGCTCCTCCGCAGACTCTCCACATGGACGTTTAGGGCCCAGCCCCTGTCGGTGGAACGGACCAGGAGCGCTACTTCCTGCTGGTTGTTGATGACTACACACGTTACACCACTGTCTTCCCCTTGCAGCGCAAGGCGGTCGTCAGCGGTGTTTTGATCCCCTGGATCTATGCTACTCGTCGCCAGCTGCGCAAGCGGTTCAGATGGGACTTCCCAGTCCTGCGTCTGCTCTCTGACAGGGGCGGTGACTTCTCTTCTGACCTCCTTGCGGAGTTCTGTCAAGACGAGGACATCGTCCAGTCGTTCACGCTTCCGGCCTCTCCTCAGCAAAATGGGATTGCTGGAGGTGCTACTGGAGCTGATGGCAGTGGAGGTACTGGAGGTACTGCTGGTGCTGGAGGTGCTGGAGCTGCCGGAGCAGGTGGTACTGCTGGTGCTGACGGTGCTAGAGGTGCTACTGGAGCTGCTAGCACTGGAGGTGCTGGAGGTACTGCTGGTGATGGAGGCGCTGGAGCTGGAGGTACTGGAGGTACTGGAGGTGCTGGAGCTGCTGGTCCTGGAGGTGCTCGTACTAAAGGTACTGGAGCTGCCGGAGCAGGTGGTGCTGCTGGTGCTGGAGGTGCTAGAGGTGCTACTGGAGCTACTGGTACTGGAGGTGCTAGAGGTACTACTGGTGCTAGAGGTCGTGGCGCTGCCGGAGCTAGTGGTGCTGCTGGTGCTGGAGGTGCTCGAGGTGCTGCTGGAGCTACTGGTGCTGGAGGTGCTGGTGGTGCTGGTGCTGGAGGAGCTGGAGCTGATGGTACTGCCCTGCGCAAACCGTTTTTCTTCCCGCAGCCGCAGTCGTCCCTGCCGCCACCTGACTCGGTCCTTCGCCAGATTCTTAGTCTCCCGTCTTCCAATGGCCTCCCTCTACCCCTCCTGTGTCCACCGACAGACCAGTCTCAGCCACAGCTACTGCCAGGCTCCCCGCTGCCTGCGCGTGCTCCTCACACTGAGGTGACTGAGTCCCTGACTGAGCGTCGTGAGCCTGAGACTCGTGCTTCCTCACCTGTTCGTGCTCGTCGTGTCGCCCGTCCTCGTCCTCCTGCTGTCCCAGGCACTCACGGTATGGCACTTCGTCCTTCCTCTGTTCCACAGCGTGTTGTCCTGCCTGAGCCTCCCGCGTCCTCTCTTCCGCACGTTCCTGACCCTGAGTCCTACCTTGCTCGTGCTGCTAGTCCTACTGTCACTTGTCTCCTCGCTACTGTCGTCACAAACCCTGACCTTGAGTCTACTGCTGCGTTTGCCCTAGTTACTGAGCTAGTCGACTTTGCAGCTAGGAGTCGTCTCGACTACGTCACGAGTCTTGTCACTAAGTCTGAGTCTGTCTGTCCTCCGTCCGTCGGGGGTGAGCTTGCCCTTGGTAGTGACGTACTTGAGGATAGACAGTTTGAGCTTGAGTGTGTTGCGACCGCTTTACCCCGTTTTGCATCCATGATGCTTTGCCCTGAGGGAGACCCGGATGCACTTGACATCCCTACCCCGCGCTCTTACGCTGAGGCGATCGCGGGTGAGTACTCCTCTCAGTGGCAAACAACCATGGATGCAGAGATGGCTTCCTTGAAGTCCACAGGCACCTACGTCGACGAGGTTCCTCCTCCTAGGGCGAACATAGTCGATGACATGTGGATTTTCATAGTAAAGCGGCCGTCGAGTTCTCCGCCTGCCTTCAAGGCGCGTTACGTTGCTCGAGGCTTCAGTCAGTGACAGGGGGTTGACTTCTTCCAGACCTTCTCCCCCACCCCGAAGATGACTACTCTTCGGGTGCTGCTAAACATTGCAGCATAGCGTGACTACGAGCTGCACTCCCTCGACTTCTCCACAGTTTTCCAGCAGGGCAGCCTTCACAAGGAGATCTGGCTACGCCGCCCACCCGGCTTCACTGGGTCGTTTCCTGCGGG